TTCCACCACCGTGCTTCACATTATGATGATGTCACCACCATGCTTACATCATGATGATTCCACCACCGTGCTTCACATTATGATGATGTCACGACCATGCTTACATCATGATGCTGCTACCATCATGCTTCACATTATGATGATGTCACCACCATGCTTACATCATGATGCTGACACCACCGTGCTTCGCGGTCGGGATGCTGTGTTTCTGATGATGTGCAGTGTTTGGCGCCCACCAAACATAGCATCTAGCCTGATGCTAAAAAAAAGCTACATTTTAGTTGCATCACACAAAAAAACCTTCTTCCAGTTGACTTCAGAGTCTTCTGCTGGACTCAGATTTACTGTAAACTGTGAACAGGCAACATTGGCCATTTGTACATTCTCTCCCATCTTAGTCGCTTAAGCCTGTAGCTCCTTCCGGGGAGTCATATGTGTCTTGGTGGCCTCCCTCACTCATCTACTTCTTGCTCGGTCACTCAGTTTTTGAGGACTACTCGCACTAGTCAGATTTACATAATTGCCTTAATGGTGGATTTCACTGGACTCCAAGAGATATTCAGAGACTTGGAGATTTTCTTGTGTCATCACCCAACTGATTCTTTTCAATAACGTTTCCCAGAGTTCTTGGAGTGTTCTGTAGTCTTCATGGTGTAGTTCTGTCCAGGAGTACTGATCCACCAGTGACTGGACCTCCCAGATACAGGTGTCTTTATACCGCAATCACTGAGACACATTCACTGCACTCAGATGATCCATGTCACTAACTGTATGACTTCCATGTTCAATTAGTCACATCAAAGGGACATTAAAGAATCCTTACACAGCCACTTATTTTACCTTTAATATTTTAATGATTTGACATTACTTCGTAGAAATCTGCTTTTACTTTGACAGCACATCTGTATGCACGACAGCAGCCGGTAAAACTCAACAAACAACCAAACAAATTCGACTGAAACTCCTCTGACATGCTCAGCTGAACTCCTGTCTGTGTTCTTGAAAACAGCAGCTCTCTTGTCTGTCACATTCCTGCTCAGGCTTCTATCTTCATCGCGTCTCTTTTGTTCAGATGTTTACTGAAGTGGCCTGAGGAATGTTCTCCGACTCTTCGTACTGATAAACACGACTTTATTTAGAAACCTGTTTCCTAGGTGTGTGTGTGTGTGTGTGTGTGTGTGTGGAGGTTTGGTTTCCAACTGTTTGCTTCTTTAAGTAACTCATTTTTTCTGTTTTTCAGGCTCACCTATTAAACGAAGGTTGAGGAGCAGTCACTCCTGTCATGGGTACAAACATCTGCTTCTTCTACATTTTCAATAAACTAGACGTGCCTGATATGTGTGTGCATAAATCAGTGTATTTGTTTCAAAATGTGGGATGTTGAACGCACATTTTTAATACTTTTAACAACTTTTTTGAAATATAAACATACTATTTATTGCACTTTGTTGTAAAAAATATCTAAATTGCAAAACAGCAGCAACATTGAAGACCGTATATTTACACATATTTGTAGCCTATGAGTGTGGGATAAACTTGAGATGCACTTTTGTATGATACAGATTTTAGTTTGAGATAATAAGCAGCTTGTTCCTCGTGTAAAGAAGCAGTCAGTGCTGGTGCTGACACATACTAACATGCATTCGGAAGCGTGTTAATATTTAGTGTGTTGTGAGCCATGTTGGAGGAATTTATCCCGACATGCGCTGAACTTTCAGGGGATGTTTGTAGATTATTTGTCCAACTTTGTATTCCATCTTTCCCCCTCAGCCTCGACGTTTCTCTCCTCTCTCCCGACTCTTCGTACGTTTGTTATCCCTCTGCGGACGGCAGCGATCCCTGCAGCTGCCGCCGCTCGCCACGACTCCTCACCAACGGATACTACGACGTTACTGAGGATAGTTTCTCCTGGGACAACGACGGCAACGTGTCGCTGACGCCCTGCAAAACCAACGTTTCCTACAAGGAGAACCTGGTCAGGTGAGTGGCGGGGTTAGGGGTGTCTGATGTTTTAACTTCCTGGTTTGGTGCAGGACGCTGCAGATGCAAACCTTGAATAATTCTCTTATTCAAAAATTATCTAGCAACACTTGATCAATTGAATACACAAATTAGACACTGTGGACATTGGTCCTGAGCTAATTTTGGTATTTTAGTCAAAAAACACATTGTTTTGATAGTAAGTGCAGCTCTATTACATACTCCACTGACATATAGAAACACTGTCTGAGTTGATTTTCGTTCGTCTCAAACACAAAACTCTAATTGAGGTCATTAAGTGTCACAGAAGTCTTTCACCTGGTGGCTGTTGGGAGGTTAAAGACACTCTAAAAAGGCCCCTAAGTTCCTTAAACTGCTGCACTTTTTTTTTTTTTTTTTAAAGATATTTTTGTTGGGCTTTTTCACCTTTATTGGACAGGACAGTGAAGAGAGACAGGGAGACATGGGGAGAAGAGTAGGGGAAGGACATGCAGCAAATGAACAGCTGGCTGGACTCAAACTGTGGACTGTACATAGCCCCTAGTACATAGTACATAGACTGTAGCCCCTGTACATGGGTCGGCGTCTTATCCATTTGAGCTACCAGGGCGCCCCGAAACTGCAGCAGTTTTTTTAATCTGCCAAACAGAAGGAAGTTGGGCTTTTGTTCTGGACTATTTTCAGCAGTGGATGAAGCCACGTTTAGTGCTTCAGTGGGTATTTATGGGAGCAGGACGGTGTGTGCGAGACTGAGTCAAAATAACCTGCAGTGTGTGTTCATGGAAAATACTACACATGGAGAGAATACTGTCTAAAGAAAACAGAAGTATGTAAACTTTACAGAGTCAGCGTGAGTTTGTATTGACGAGTTACAACAGATTTCTGGTTAATAACTGACAGCATGATCAGGTTCATTGTGTGATGCTTACAAATCTGTTAAAACCTTTTATTTGTCCTGATTAATTTCTGCTTCTGTCATGTTGTGGTTGTTTTCTGTCTCTTTGTAGACACTTTGCATCCTATGATGGCCATTTTGTGTCATTTTGTAGCCAGTTTGTCCATCTTTTTGCTGTTTTATGTCACTTTGTAGACAGTTCACGTTACTTTTTGCCATTTGGTTCTCTTTGTAGACTCTTTGCATCCCTTGGTAGCCATTTTGTGCTGTTTTGTAGACACTTTATATCACTTTGTGTCACTTTATATTCATTTAATCTTACTTTTTAGCTACTTTGTATCACTTTTTGGCCATTTTACGTCACTTTGTGCTTATTTTGTCTCAATTTCTGGACATTTTTTTGTCACTTTATGGACTTAGTTTCCTGGTAATTTCCTGACATAAAAGAGGTAACATTAGCAGCTTGTCACGTAAAGCTGACGCTGGCTGTGTTTTGTTCAGTTAAATCAGCTGAAGCTAAAAGAAGCTGATCAGACGAGAGACGTTTGGAGACAAACTCTGAATTGAACTGAACAGAACAACCTGTACTGGTTATGTCACATCAGCAGCTGGAAACAGCCGCTGAGATAATACACAGCGCTGCCAAAAACATGGCAGCTGTTAGACACTCATAGACAGAGTCACGTGCACACTCACACAGTCACGTGCACGTGCGTCTCTTTACGATGGCGAGGTCGCCATCAGCAGCCAATCAGAGCGAGCCGCTGAGCTCATGTCCTGAAGTTTTACAGCTGGTAAATTCTTCATGTCTGACATCAGCTGCCTTCAGGAGCCACAGTGTGATGTCATCGATCACGGTTGCTAGGAGACCCTCGTGTTATTGAACGCTGCTCCGTCAACATTAGAAGAAGAAAAAGAGTTTGTGGTGCTTCATAACTGATGAACTGTTGAACTGTGGTTTTACCTGCAAACACACAGTGACTCAATGAAACAGTGAATTCATCATCAGAAGCTGGTGTGAGCTTCCTGAACCGCTCTGATAGTTTTACTCTGCAGAGCTGCTCAACGTGATTTCTGCCTGATGTGGACGACACCAGGAGCTCTGCAGTCTGACCTCCAACACAAACTCTTCACCCTGATGGGTGGTTGTTGATTTTAGCAAAAACATCAGTTGACTGTTTATTAGTTTGCTGGTTTGTTGGTTCCATCCGTCAGTTTGCAGCCTCTAACCTGAGTCCAGTCCTGTACGATATGTCAACACAGAGTCACGATGAGACAATATGTCCCTCTGTTGTCATTTTTACATCATCTTGTGGGTACACATTTTGCACTACTTTATGATCATTTTTTGTAACATGGTGGACATGTTGTGTTACTTTGTTGACATATTCTGTCTCCCTGTGAGCATTTTGTGCCATTTCACATCCAGTTGTGATTGTTTTTTGTCTTGCAGATGGTTTGTGACACTTTGTGGCCATTGTGCACCTATTTGTGGACATTTTGAGACATTTAGTCATTTTGTGCTACTTTTTGGAACTTTTCTGTCACTTGGTAGTTTTTGTGTTTGAGCCTCTCGTTGTAAGGCTCCGAACTGAACTGAAAACACACTTAATTTAATCTTTTTCAGGGTTTTCCGGCGCCGACGGAGGCCCCGCAGCTCTCTGGTTCGCCTGCTGAGCGACGTGACTGAAAGCTGCCAGTCGTGGCTGGATGAGAAAGTCTTCAGAGGCGTGTTCAGGACCAACCAGAACCAGAACCAGAGGAAGGACCAGAACCAGAGGCAGGACCAGAACCAGAGGCAAGACCAGGACCTGAGCCAGGACCAAGACCTGGACCTGGATTGGACCAGGAGTAGCGTGGAGGGCCCGGCCCGGCTGGACGAGTCGTCCTGGGGTGGACTGAACAGCACAGAGCTGGACGATAGCCGCACCTTCACATACGGTGAATAATCAGAGTCAAGCTCATATAAATTAACTCACACTGGAAGATTTATTGAACCACATTTTGAATTAAGAACCACGACTTGATTCACTGTTTTCATTTCAGTCTCTCTCTCTATCTCTAAAAACCTCCACTTTTATTACCAAAACGTTAATTCTTTGTTTTTTCCTCCCTCAGATCCCACCGAAGTCCCGCCTCCTCCAGACAAAGTGGCTCCGCCCCGGAAGATACTCATCCAGGAGGAGATTTGCTCCGAGATCTGTCAATCAAAGGAGCGTTTCACCCAGTCGCTGGGCGGATTATCTGAAGTCCCGCCTCCCTCACTTTTCTACACCAACACCTGCTGCTGTCAGGCCACACCTGAGGACACAGGTGAGCTGCTGCGCTCTGACTGTGTGACTTTGTGATCATCTTCTGCCAATTTGCCGACATTTTGTGACACTTTGTGGTCGTTTTCCTTCACCTGTGTTAATTTTGTGTAACTTTGTTCTCATTTTGTGCCACTTTGGAGATATTTTGTGTCACTTTGTTGTCATTTTTTTGTCCTGTTGTGGTCATTTTCCATCTCTTTGTTGTCATTTTTGTTGTGGACACAAAGCTGCATAGATGAGCTGCAGGAGATGAGTCAGACAGAATTTATTCCAATGCAGCTGCTGCTATCTGACTGTAAAACTGCAGTGCATGATGGGAAACACCTCAATCTACCATCTGATTAGTTTAGATGTTAAACCAACAAAGTGGCATTTTATAGCAACTTATAATTTGTTATTCTGTTTGATACTTAATTGGCTAAATTTTGCACAGAAGGTTCATTCATGTATTTGTTCTATCAGTAATGTTTTCAGCTGTTGTTGGCCGGGGCTCTGACTCGTGTGTTCCTTTGTTTCAGGATTAACGATGAAGGCTCTCCTCCTTCTCATCTTCATCGTCTTCATCTTTGCTGTTCTTTACTCCGGGTGAGAACACGATTTTATCACAATCTGACAAACAAGCCATGCTGGTAAAATGACACTGTAGAGAGTGAAGAGTTGAACCGGTTATAAATGAGTGTGACAGGATGGAGTATGTGTTCTTTTTTAGTAAATGGAACTTTAATGCTGCAGCGCCTGAGCGTCAGGTTTAGTGCAGAGAAGCATTTTCTTTGATACTGAAACTCTGCAGGTGAAGCTGCACAAGTGCAGAAATCTGGAAGAGCCACTAAAATTTCAAGGATAAATGACTGATTTTTGTTCTCTGCAGGTGTTTGTGGTGGAGCTTCACTGTAACGTCCACCGTGTTCATGATGATGTCAACGTGTATGCGTGAGTATCACTGC